AAAAAAAAAAAAAAAAAAAAAAAAATTGTACACGTCTTAATTTGTTACTAAGCCTTCAAAAAATAAGTCATGGTCCAACAATTTAAATAGAAAACAATAAATAAATTAGTAATTTTTTTCTAAAAAAAAAACTCGAATGTAGTTATTTGAAGTCTTTTGTTTTGTTTGATGTATTTTTTTTTTGTTCGGAACTCTTTTTTTGTGTTAGTTACATCTCATTTTTTTTAGTATATTTACAATATATTTTCTATTTTAATGCAGTTTTTTTGTGTGTGTCGAAATCAAACAATTTCGATGAACTAAGACTGAAAAATATATACAATATATAAACATCACATATACAGTCTTGAAACAATTAGAAAGTTGCAACACAGTATAATGTAGGTGATGTAGCACGAAGAATAACTCGGTGGACCGGCCTGAGCGATTAGCTCGGATACGCCGGTCCAAGGAAGCTTAGAGCTAATTTATGTGATATACGGTATTATTTAAAGATATTCATGAAAGTTGGTGTATATCTACACAATTATTGAGGAGTATCAGAATTCTTGTTTATGGAGGAAACTCATTATTTTGGGAAGTAAGCCATTAAACTCCTTATAAATAAGGGATCAGGTTCCTTTTTTAATCCTAAGCTCTTAAGATTACTGAAATACACGATAAAACATCCATTTGATGACTTGATCGTCGGAGTGTCTACGCCGGGGTCCGCCCCGGCGCTTTGCAGGTCGATCTGGTTCTTGAAGACGAAGGCGATCGAGATGTCCGAACTCTCACGCAATCGAGATGAGGCGGTTCGACCGGCAACCTCGGTGAGTCAATTATTTTGGCTCATCAGTAGGTATATCATTCATGATTCGTGTTATATATACTTCATATGCACGTATATAATTTTTTTATAATCAATATATAAACTGTGAAATATTCATATTAGTATGGATAAACGTTGCAAGGCATCATCATTAATAAATTATTAATAAATATCAAATAAACCTTGAAACAAATCATATCAGAAATTTCAATAAAATCTTTTAATATACAAAACATTAAATGCATATAAACTGAAAATATATTGTCTATATACTCAACATATAATGTCCATTCTAAAGATTCAATATATGCTCGCTACAAAATTTCTCCTACTGTTCTTGCAAATTGCTCAAACCTTGCACCTTCTTCATTGATGATACAGTCGTTGGTGATGTCGGAAATCGGACCGTCGACCCTTCCAACATCACCTTCACCGGCGACGCTCGCGCCAAGCCGCGTGCCCTTGAAAATCTTCGTCAGGCTTGCTCCACCACCCATACTGTCTCAGCATTTCCTCATCCAATCACCTCCACCAGCGAAGCGCTATCTCCGGCCGTTGGAGGGCCATCACGCCTCCTCCGGTTGGTGGTAGCCAGTCGGGACTTAGGATCACCTTACTCCTGGCGGGTCTGCCAATCCACCGCTCCGCCAACCTCTGCTCATCTAAGTCGTGGGTAGCCGATTTTCG